AGTTTACAATATTATCTAAAAATGAATTTTTTTTATAGATAAATTCAATAAATTAATCAAATTCAAACTGAAATGATTAAATTGGTTGAATTCAAATTGAAGATTAGTATATAAAAAAAATCAAACTAATTCTAATATATTTCAAATTGAGGGTGGTAGGGTTTTGCATGATCAATTGTTGTGTTTTTTAAGGATGGGGAAGTTTAGTTTTGGCCTTGTCGGAGTCATAAGAGACAAGCCACGCGCACACATCCTTGTTGGGATCTCACTTTTGGATTTTGTTATTGAACAACGCAATGTGTATGTATAAAACCATAATTTTATTTTATAAAAAAACCACCATTTTATCCTAATTTAATTTATTCTATATTATTGACTCGTCTATATTTATTATTTATCAAGTTATTTGTTATTTCACTTTTTTAACATATTCCAAACAACTAACAATTCAAAAGCATCGTGTAAAAAAAATTAAAAACCAAAAGTCGTTAATTAAATTTGAAACGCGTTTAGTACCAAATGGGTAAAAAGAAAAGTAAATTAAGTGTTTAGCCATTACTTTTTTTTTTTGTACTTGGTGTAAAAATATATCTTATTTTTTCTTATATAAGATCATTTTCTAATTATTTATTATATTAGTTATTTTAATCTCTTAATTATTTAATAATATTTTTAGGTAAAAAATAATAAATGTTAGGAATTATATAGCGGGATAAAAAAATTTCTTTCACTTATTAGGATCGAAGAATATGGATAGACATGATTTTTATATGATTGTTTGATATTTTTTTTAAATAATAATTAATGAAGTGAAAATTAATTAAGTAAAAAAGAGAAATGATTTATTTAAAAAAATGTTAAGGATAATTGTGAAAAAACAATTTAATCAGGTATTTATAAATTATAAATTAATACATGATAAAAAATAAAAAAAACAATTGCTTACAAAGAATTACAAAGATTTTTTTTAACAAAGATTGAGTTAATTTAATTGGACGTGACATCTTAATCATAAAATTTTGAGACATAAATTGAGACATCTGATATCTTAAAATTATCATTTTCAAACAAAAATTTTAAATAAAATTAAATTATGCTAATCTATTTGAGTATACACTTCTCTTAATTTTATATTTTGATATATGAGTCATAACATTCTTTATTCCACCTAAAGATAAGTAGGAGTAGAGATAATTTTTATTGAACTAAAATATCAAAATAATAATAAAATATTAATTTTTTTCCAAATATACATGTGTAATTAGTTGTTGAATCCAAAATATATTTTAAAGATTCTTTTTCTTAAGGTTTTTTTAATATTCTTTTTCTAAGATAAATATCAGCGATGACTCTTATTTTTAATTATTTTCACCACTCCATTTGTCTTGGTTAATTCAATAGTTATAAGACTTTCTTTAAAATATAAAAAAATTGATATAGGGTTCAGAAGATCGATTCTCAATCATATTAAAATAATATTTCATCAATAAAAATTATATTTTGCTGATGAAAATTAATTATTAATTATCAATTTTATAATATTATGTTGATATAAAAAATAAAAAATAAAAATATTGATTGCCACAATGTGATTTATGTCTGCTGACATACATTTGCCCAATCACAACCCAATGATCGACACCTCAGTTATAGTTAAAAAAAATAACACATGTGGTAAATAATATACAAAAAAAGGCTAAAAAAATAAAACAACACGAGACAGAAAAAAAAAATGAATGAAAGATGATAATAATAACAATAGTTATACCTCTATGATTAACTCTTTAACCTCAGCTCTTGACCTTTACTTGCTTTTGCTTTCATTCCATTATTATAATAATTTATAGTGAATGAATAATTAATAATAAGATGAAGACCTCGACTAAGTCTTTATCATCATATATAATTTTATTCTTCATCTCTTTTCTTGTAAGAAACGATAAATAAATTTCTGCGATCTTACTTCCACCTTTTTGGGTCACTATCATAGACTACGTCTAAAGAGAGGGTGCAACGTTCTTCACATACGCGGGAAGAAAACTACATAGTTTCATGCTAACTGAAGAAACAAAAAAGGTTAGATTAGATTAATATGATGATGAAATTACTTTTTGACTCACTTTTGTGTTTTAAGAAGGATCATAACCCTCGTGTGTTGAATTGAAATACTTTTTACCATATGTGATACGTTTAATAAGAGTGACTAACACTGTGATGCCTAATTTGAATTATAATAGACACACATGTGAGAAGAGTTATACGTAATTATACAAAAATATTATAATTTGATAATTTTTACTATTAGATTAAAGAAATGTCAATTACGGAAACCATATAAAAATCATAGTATTTTATTAGCACATAGAAAACTATATTATGCAAGCCAAAGATAAAACATATACTATTATATTTTTATGAACTAAAGATAATATTTTATTCCGCCTCCAACATGTACCGTATTATGTAATAATAATATCTCTAGCATATGTAAACACTTTGAATGAATATTTAATATAGTATAAGTTTGAAAAAAATTATAAATTATATGTATATACTTTGACTTTAAGACCCGCAATTTGGAAGTTTACTTGGACTCATGCTAACTTTATTTTTGGTGAATAGTTGAGTCTTCTAATATTGTATTTCTTTCTTTTATTACTTGAAAGACAGAGTCAAACTCATTCAGAAAATCTATCAAGAAACTGTAGACAAATTGAATTGAGGATGGAGTGGAGATATAATTGAAAAATAATTATTAAATGTTAGACTCAACAAAATAAAATACAGACCGTGATATTTTCAAAAACTAAAAATTTTAATTATTCAAATCCAAATATAAAAGAGTTCTTAATCAACTAAAATTATAGTAGCGAAAATCACGTACTCTTCGCTCTCTTAATAACTTTTTGCCAATTACTTCACAGCTTAAGTAGTTAATTAAATGAAAATCCAAGTATGCAAGAAAAAGATAAAATAGTCAAGTAAATTTCACAATTAATCATTTCGATTTTTGCTAACGACATAAAATTCACTTTATATTTTAAACCATAATAAATAACAAGAATAGAATATGACTTTGAACGCATCAAATAATATTTTGTTTTTAAAACCAAAGCTAGGATCCATCCGATATCATTTTCGTAATTAATTTGCCTTTTTAGTTTCTACAACAAATTACCAATTGAGTCCGGAAGTGAACAGGGTGCATCATAACTGAGAAAAACGTGGTGTCGGTGTTTATGCATTAGTGAGAAAAATGTGAGGGATATATAGGGGTGGATCCACATTATTGGCTCAACAAAGTTTTTAATTTATTTAGAAATAGTTAATAAAAAAATGTCCCACAAAAATTAATAAGTATTGTTTCTATAAAATATTTTTTTTAAAAATAAATATAGAAAATTATAAGAGATAAAAAAAATAAATTATTACTAATCTTATTATTTTTATTCTTATAACTTTTACCATTCCGTTTTTCTTATATTATTAAACAAATTACACAAAATCACAAATACACACATCAATATAATCTCAAAAAGAGAGAGATAAAGGAAAGAAGAAAAAAGTATGGTTCTATTTATTAGACAAAATGTCGTGTATAGAAAATTCGGCATTTTAGATTTTTGTCCTGAAAATATGTATTTTTTAAAACATTATTATATTTTTTTTATAAAAATATTATAGGTTATTTTATTGTTTCCATTTAAAAAGAGTTAATCCGTTACTATTATGTCAAACATTATCATTATTGATTGAATCTATATATAACTAGATTATACTAATACTTATAATTACTAATAAACTTTAGAGAATAATATAATAAATATTAGAAATAGAGGCGAAGTATTCGGAGAGTCAATGATGCCTTAATCCCTTCATCTCATAGTAAGAATTGTATTAAAAGAAAAATATCATCTTAAAATAAATATCATATTAATTTTTTAATGTAATATTAATTACTTTTTTTTTGTATATAATCCTGATGATTTAAGAAGATTAATTATAAAGTTACATTTATAAATTTTTTTTTTTTTTCAACCTATAAAATAATTTAAGACTATACTTATTATAAAATGGATGGAAGAATAATAATGACACAATGAAGTAAAAGCAAAGGACCACAAAGACAGTGTCAGAAGCACCAAATGATTATATCGTCTTGAAAAGGCTTCAATTAACAAGTTGACAGAAGGAAAAGGAAGTTGTCAAGACGCGTATTGCAAAGTCTGGTCCCAAGTCTATACACATCTTGGTTATGGATCAATATTTGGACTCTTTTTTTTGCATGGTGATGATGATTTACTTTCATTCATATACTGCACATAAGACGATTGTGTTGTTAGCTTCGGGGAAATTTTCTCATGCGTGTGTGACGATGCAAGGCAACTTTCACAACATTCCTTGTTATTTAATTTATAAAGAGGAAACTTTTGGCCAAAACGAGAGACTTAACTGTAGTGTCATTAATACAGTTACACCCACCAAAAAGGGACCTTCACATTAGGAGACACACCGCGTAACATCGTGAAATAAGAAAATGTAGGAGTAGTTTCATTCATGTCCAAATAAAAAGACCATTGTTGTACATCGATTGGTTTTTAAAATTATTAACCATATGATATATCTAGCGTAAAACTAAGAGACAAAACATTGATATTTTTCATTCATAAATAAAAGAGATGTACCACCAGTACCACGACAAAAGGAGTTACAGTGTTTTCTAGGAATTTCCAAAGGAGGAGAGCGTAATTAAGTTCCGTTAAGGCACGAACTCATGAAAAAAGATGGTCAAGTCAACGCATATGGTACATTGACGAGTTCCACTTGCAATACAAAAAAAAAAACAACGTGGGTGGCATCGTTATTTACCATGCGATTGTGCCACGTGGAGGACGCAGAAACACGCATAGCATGGAGCCGCCTTTTTGTGGTTTCTACCTTTCCTCGTTCCCACATGCTTGTCCCCATCTTCAAAGGTCCAATCTTTGAACATGTCTCTTTTACGCTCGCAGAAAAGAAAAAAAATGGCCCGCGTACAACAACACCCTTTGAAACGTTTCATAGTGCATCTACAAGAACAACACCAACACCTCAGTCAAGTCAATAATCACTTATCCTCCTTCTTATATTGCCACAAAGAGTGAGACGCAGTTGGATCACTCTTAGTGAGGAATAACCAATGATGGGTATGAATCACGTGATCAGTGTGCATAGCATTGCAGGGTTGGATTCTCATTCCGCGGCGGAGAAGGCTGTCAGTGTTATTGGTCAAGGTTATGATCTTTGCACCGATGTTAGATTCTCTGGTTGCAAGTCCAGGTTGATTGAGATCGATCGCACCCATACTAGAGACCTTGTTTTCCCCGCTGGGGTTGTTCTTTCCAATGTTCCAAACTCCATCAAGTGTGACAAGGGTGAATGCACCAGGTTTCATTCGGACGTGCTCCCATTTAATCAGGTACTTCATGTCACCACCAACATTAGCATATGGAACAGTATCATAGATACTGTGTTTAATTTTTGTCCTGTTTTGATTGTGTCTTGTTCTGTCCCACTGTTTTAATTTTATCAACATTTTTTTTTTAAAAAGAAAGAACTGAATGTTTTAAACATGTTGTTGACAGAATTGAATCTTGATTACTGGCTGCCAACTGAGAATGATTGTGATTCTTGCCTCATATAGGTTGGATGGATCATGGATCTGTGGGTATTTAATTTCGGTTGCTGAAATTCCCTTTTTTAACCATAACCGTGTACTCAATTTTCTCGGCGTTGTTTTGACTTTTGAGTTTTGAGGAATAAACATGTGTTAGTGCCGCATTTGGAATATTCACAAACTTGATTTGGGACAGTCGATTTAAAAAGAAAACAATTTTGGTTAAAATTTGATTTCTTGAAAGCAAGTTTGTATGGAATTCTTTACCTAATTGAAAAGCTATATTTTTTTTCACTTCTAATCAACTGTACTTCTAAAAGCAAACTTGATTTTGATTTGTTGCAATCAAACGTGTGAGTGTTTGTCGAAACACTTAACTGTTGTGTTGACTTTCCCCCCACTTCCGTTGTGTTTGTTTTTCTTAATTGCTTCCATTTATGGTAGATGGTTTTTCAATATAAAAGTAAAATTGAGGAGTAAGTGTTGGGTTGATGTGATTAGATACTGTAAAATGAGAAAGTCTGAATTGCAATGAATTTGGTCCGTTGCAGATGTCTGAGCATTTCAACAAACAGATATCCTTGTCGGGAAAGATTCCATCGGGCCAATTCAATATCATGTTCGACATGAGGAAATGTTGGCCTATAGATGCAGCTTCCACTAAAAACCTTGCTTATGATGGATGGTTCATAACATTATACAATGTCGAATTAGATAGAACCAACTTAACCCTTTCGGAAAATGTGAAAAAAGAAGTGCCTTGTTCATGGAACCCCGCAGCTCTTGCTGAGTAAGTGTTGTCGTTATCGTTATTCTTTGTTTTCTTCTCGTTTGTAGTATTGAAATATTACAGAGCGTTGATTTTGTCTTTTGGGGTATGAACATATAATTTGTTTTCTTCCCTCTGAACAGTAATAGTATCACTTTGATTACCTACCACTTGCTCCATAATTACTAAAACTATAGTAGCATTAATATGGTTCTAAAGAGTACTCTAGATTTCTTTCTTTAAAAGTAAATCCTTATTTATGTTGCTTGGACCTGAATAGTGAATAGTGCTCTAAACGAAATTTGGTTCTTCAGGTTCATTGAAAAATATGGTACCCATGTAATAGTCGGGGTGCAGATGGGAGGTAAGGATGTTGTTCATATCAAGCAGTCAAAAAATTCAGATACATCGCAGACTGAACTGCAGAAATTGCTAAAGCATTTAGCTGATGAGAGGTTTTCTGAGACTTCAAATCAAAGTTCTAATGTCAATCCTGCTGACAAATCAAGAAAAATAAAGGTAAACATTAAGCAGTATGTTTTCTGATCAAGGACAACATGCCCTTAATTTCATTAATTGCTTTTAAAAGCACAAGGAAGTGCAGATTATGATTTTAGAGTTTTTAATTTTAGTTATCTCTAATCATGTCCACAGGATAATCATGGTATTCTGTGGAGGAAGGACAAACCTAATCCTGCTACTGGTAGGCCAGTTGTAAAAAGTCACTCCAAGAATGATGTTAGTACTTTGTTTTTTTTTTTTACAAAAATGTTGCTATTTTCATTATTTCAGCTGTAGCACCTTGTAGCCATCCTGTATCTGACAAAATTGGACTTCATTATAAATTTCTTTGCAGGATATTGTGAGCGTTTCTGTTCGAAGAGGGGGTATTGATAATGGTCAATCTTTCAACCAGTGGCTTTCAACCATATCACAGTCTCCTAATGTCATTTCAATGTCTTTTGTGCCTATTACTTCCCTGCTGAATTCTGTTCCAGGCAATGGATTTTTAAGTCACGCAGTGAATTTGTATCTTAGATGTGAGTGACACCTGCAACTTGGTTTCTTTTCAACCTGTTATTGTCTTAAATATTTTTCTTTTGGAATTTTATTTTTCTTGTTGGAATTTTGGTTGACACTATTGTTTAAATCAATATTTTTGTATGCTATAATTTAAACTCAGTTTACATTTAGTTTCCATTACTTTTCCAGTGCAGGTTTATTAAAGTTGACCTAAAACAATCAAATCATGCTTATTTGAATTCTATCATGTATAAAATGTATCATCTGTCCAATTCTAGTAAATACTTCACTAGGTACCTTTGTGTCATGTTTATTCTCGGAGCAGTGTAGACAGATATACGTATAGACACAAATATGGAGTATGTCAAGTGAGAGTTTGCTCTGTGAAATGAACTAATCTTGACCATACATCATAAATAGATAGTCAAAAAAATTTCATGTCACCTCTCAGGTTTTCACCAGATACTACTAACCTATGCGTGTTATTGATAAAGAGAAAGTAATTGACATTAAATTAATATATGATGTTTATTTTTATAATGCACTTCATGTGGTACATGTGTTTAACAGTTTCCTGTTTCAAACAGATAAACCTGCAATAGAAGAGCTTCATCAATTTCTAGAATTTCAGTTGCCCCGACAATGGGCACCAATGTATGGTGATCTGCCTCTTGGATTCGGCCAAAAGTACAAAAAGAGCATGTCCCCATCACTTCAGTTCACTCTCATGGGACCCAAGCTTTATGTCAATACCGTGAAGGTAATTCAGTTCTTACAAGTTACAACTATCTTAATTTACTCTTTAATAGTCATAAAATCATAAACCTTACCTATCTTTACCGGTGCTCTAATTGCTTTGTATCCATTCAAAATTGCACACTTCATTTAGATGCAATATTTTAGCAGCAAGAACACTATGTGTTTAGCAAGCGACTAAATGAGCTTATAAGTTAGTTTGAACAAATAAACTTGTTTGACACGATGAGCTTATAATAACGGTTTCTAGCTTATTCTTGAAAGGCATTGCTAAAAATTATTAGCCTTTTTTTCTTTACATTTTTATTGTCATAAGTTATTTGTAATTTCTTTTTACTTCAAGTAACAGTGTCATTTTACATTTCTGAGTTACTTTATCAATTAATTGACCAAATACTTTTAATTCAATCAGCAATTTATAAATTTCTAACTTATAGCTTTTAAGTTTCAGTTAACTTATAAACTTTCAGCTAACTTAAAAGTTAGTTTTGTCAAATTAAACACATAAATTTATGAACTTGTTTCTTCCAAAACTTCAGTAACTGATGTATTTTGAATAAGCAGATCGACTCTGGGAACCGGCCTGTGACAGGCATTCGGCTGTACTTGGAAGGCAAGAAAAGTGACCACCTAGCAATCCATCTGCAGCATCTTTCAGATGTTCCTGGTGCCCTCGAAATTTCAGAAGACCACAGTTATGATCCCATTGATGAACCAGACGATAGAGGCTACTACGAGGCTGTGAAATGGAGCATGTTCTCCCACGTGTACACAGCACCAGTGCAGTACAGGAGCTCCCGAATGGACGAGTCCACAGCAATAGTGACAAAAGCCTGGTTTGAGGTGAAGCTAGTTGGCATGAAGAAGGTTCTCTTCTTGAGGCTTGGATTCTCCACAGTGGCATATGCCAAAATCCGCAGATCAGAATGGGATGGACCTTCAACCACGTCTCGAAAGTCAGGATTCTTCTCAGCATTGATGAGTTCAAGGCTTAGCAAAGAGTTGCAGTCACCTGAGAAGCCAACTAAGGTGGATATAAACTCAGCAATTTATCATGGTGGACCACCTGTGCCAACAAGGGCTCCTAAAATGCTGACTTTTGTGGACACAAAGGAAATGGTTAGGGGTCCTGAGGATTCACCAGGGTATTGGGTGGTCACTGGGGCAAAACTCTCTATAGAGGGTGGTAGAATCTCTATCAAGGCAAAGTATTCTTTGTTGACTATATTGTCGGAAGAGTCTATGCTGTAGTGAGAGTAGAAACTTAGTTAATGCAGTTATTTATTGTTCTGTTGTAAATATCTTATACCATTTATTGAAAAAAAGGATAGGTATAGGAGTGTCATCTCGTGCAAAATAGCCCGAGTATGGCAATTTCTGTAATTGGTGGCTGATATATTATGGTGTTCTGATTTTGTTTTGGCATAATTGCCTTCAATAATGAATTATAGTATTTGGAATCAAAGTGTTTGATTTTTTATTTTATGATTTCTGGCTTATGGTGGTAGCATGCTGATGAATTTGTTTGAATCAACATTGTATACTTCTACACAAGGAGGTGGTACTCCAATTGGGTACCCCCCATTGGCTACGTGTTTGACTCGGTTTTATTTTTATAATCTTAGAACTTTGTATGACTAATTTTCAAAATAAAAATCGTCTGATCACTTTTAATAGAATTTGTTCTCTTAATTATAATTATCTCATTTGAACCCGAGTTTTTATTTGAAAAAACTAAATTCAATTTCATTTCAAGAACTTGTTGGTTGAGTAAGTTTATTTTGAAAGAATAATTTCTTATTTCTATTAGTTTTGTGAAAAAGTTTTTGGAATCAAGGGGGTTTTTTTTCTAGAAAAAGAAAAGTTTATTAAAGTCATGTTAACAGGAGTAAGGGAGGACTGTCATCAAGGGACGATTTCCACACGGAAATATGTTGACCATCGTGTTCCTCTAACCCTTGTGGAAAAATATAGCAAATCTAGAATGTAACTTTGGATCGTGCAATTGAAGCAATGTCTGACACTTGCAAAAACAGTTGGTAATATGCAGTCAAAAACCAAATTCAGCAAGAAAACAAAGACAATCCTTATCAACTGTCAATCAGATTTCTGACAAAATTTAACTGTCAATGGTTAAAATATCAAAGTTGTTTTTAGCATTATATTTTGAAAAATGTGGCATGAGGTATTTGAAAACTTTTACTCGTAGAAAAAGTCGAAGGCATTTATTAGGTACGTTTGACATTGGAATTTTAAAATTTTTCATTCCCAACTTGGCGTATGTTATTTTCTTGGAACCGAGAAATTCCTAGGAATTCTGAGAAAATCTATAAAATATGTATGTTTGATTATTATTCAACTTCTCTAAAAAATAATAATTTTATTATAAGTTATCATCAAAAAGTTTGATAACTTTATAATTAATAATTATATTGAAAGAGTTTGGTCGAAAAGTAAGTATGAACACTCATTTTATCTTATCAAGAATTAAATAAGTTTATGGATTTATGAAGATAAATAAGTAGATAATAAGTATGTTATCAAAATTTAGATCTAATAAAATTAGTATAAATAATAACATATTAAAAAAGATAATATACTTTTGTATTTATATTAAAACTAAATTCAATTTCATTTCAAGAACTTGTTGGTTGAGTAAGTTTATTTTGAAAGAATAATTTATACTAAAATTAGTATAAATAATAACATATTAAAAAAGATAATATACTTTTGTATTTATTACAACATTAATTACGTTGATCTATCTAAAATTGAAGACTAACTTAAACTTTAGAGTGTCTTTTGCAGATACCTTCCTTTTACCTTATCAGACAAGTATGTTCAAGGACTACACGTCTTAATATTAGAGGTGAAAAATAGTATTCGTATTAGACTCCTCAAGTGAGTAAAACTACAGACCACAAAGATATGAAGGACAAAGACTATGAAGACAAAGACTTACTAGACAAAGACTAGTAGTGATAAAACTACATGTGTACTCTTATATAGTTACATTTTGTTGCCCATCGTGGGATCTCGTATCCATAGTCCAACAAGTAATACAATTATTGTTTACTACATAAGGGTACATGAGTAATTTTATCACTTATAGTCCTCATTCAATAAGTCTTAGTCTACATAGTCTTTATCCTTCATATCTAATGTGATTTAGGAATTGTGTGTTTATCTTCAGCACATATAACTCTTATTTATAATAAAAAAGAATAAGAATTTACATGGTATGATATGATATGATGATTAACCCTAATAAATCTCCACGATATCTTAATACTTCCTCTCAAGTTGGAGCATATTATCATATGCACCAAGCTTGTTACAAATGTAACCAACCTAGGGCCCTTTAAGCGATTTTGTGAACACATCTGCTAACTGGTCACTAGAGTGGATGAACTCAATTGTGATCTCTCATGAGAGCACTTTCCCTCTTATAAAATGACAGTTTATCTCTATGTGCTTAGTCTGCTCATGAAAGACCGAATTGGAGGCAATATGAAGAGCAACTTGATTATCACAGCTGAGTTTAGTTTCTTGAGTGTCTCCAATTTGGAGTTGGTTGTGGAGTTGTTGTAGCCATGTAATTTCACTCGTAGTTGTTGCCATAGCACAATATTATGCTTCTGCATTGGATCTAACAATTGTATTTTGCTTTTTGTTTCTCCACGAAATCAAGTTACCTCCAATAAGAACACAATAGCTAGAGATGGACCTTCTATTTGATGGTGATCCTACCCAATGAACATCAAAGTAACAGACAATTTTGGAATTGCCTTTATCCTTATATAGGAGTCCATAATTTGGCACCTTCTTAATATATCTGAGGATCATCATGACTATAGTCCATTGGCTATCACAAGGATCGTGGATAAATTGGCTTACCACACCTATTAGTAATATGATGTCTAGCCCAATGATAGTTAGCTAATTGAGTCTTCCAATGAGTCTATGATATGTTTCCAGGTCATCTAATGACTCCCTCTAACCTAGAAGAAGCTTGACGTTAAGGTCTATTAAAGTGTCACTGGGGCGACAATCAACCATACTAGACTTAGTGAGAATGTCTAGAGCATATTTTCGCTAGGAAATAGCAATAACGAAAGCAAATTGAGCAACCTCGATCCTCAAAATATATTTCAAAGCACTAAAGTCTTTTATCTAAAATTGGAACTGAAGTTGAGATTTGAGATGACAAATACCATTGAAGTCATCACTAGTAATGACAATGTCATCAATATATAAGAAAACAGAGTAGTCAACATCACATTGAGACATACTAAACTCAATTAAGGTCAAGTTGAAGCAACATATAAGAAATTGACTCATCTTATGTTATTAATATTTTGGACCATGGTTTTCCTAGCAAACAAGATCTTATTAATCTAGTCTGACAAATTAGGTAAATGCAGCAGCTGCATAATTGTATACAAGGGAATTATATCCTTCATAAAGCCAATCAAGTGGTTGATGTCCTTGCTAGTATAATATCAATTTAACTTTCAATAGCAGAATTTATGATGCATCTCTCTCATTCATTTGTATGTCTTTGATGGTTGACTTTATGCCCACGCCTTTTCCTTGTAGCTTCTAGTTTTGTGCTCTTGCCTTGTTTTCTTAGCAAAAAAAAAAAAATTGACATATGCCCCAAGCATTTTTGTGATTTTGCTTTATGTGGATTACTTTCTCCAATTGCTTAATTTGGGCTCTATGCTTCATTGGCATACTTTAAATACAATGTAGGGTTTATGATTGATAATCTTTAAATATTATAACTAACCTACTTTGATAAATTGTTGAATATTTCATTATGTTCTTTTATTATTATTATTATTATTATTATTATTATTTAATTTTGAAAAGGTGATAAAGTGGTAACTTACTAAGAGAATGTCACTTGTATATTATTATCATCTATTTTACCTCTATTCTTATATAATATAAAGGTGATCAAACAAGATTTCTAACAATGATTAGGCATTAACGAAATTAGTAAATATTTTATACCAAAATATAATTATAAAATAGACTTTTAAACCTCTACCACACTGGACATGCAAGGCATCCACCTCATCATGTATAAATGTAAAAGTGGGTTGGCTCACAACGGTTGGTGTCTTAAATGACCAGCCCAACATAACTCACTTTTAGATGAGTCAGAAAAATCTTAACCTAACTTGACCCACCATAGGTTGGTACGTTAAATGGGTTGACTCACTAGATTTTTAAAAAAATATAAAAATAATAATAATTACGCATTTATGTTTTTAACAAATAAAATAAATGACTATAATTTTTTCTATCAAAAAATCAAGTCTATCATTGATTCAAATGCAAATAAAAAAAATATCAATCAAAATTTTAAATGATAAATATATAAAACATAAACATATTTTTTTTTTTAATTCTAATGAGTTAAAATGGCTCACCCAATTCACTTAGATTCAATCCCGATTGATTCATGTATTAAGTAAGTTGAGTTAAAATTTGGCCAAAATTGACATACATTTTTTTTCTTCTAACATGACCTGAATCTATGGTGAAATATGTTAATCCATTGGGTTGAACTCACTTTGACACTCTCTATGAAAAACAGTGCAAATATAAACCTCAAAGCACATGAAAAAACACAAATAATGGACTTAAGTAGAAAATAATGTAAATAAACTATTTAATTAAATATTCATAATTACTAAGTTTAGTATTTTTTTATATAAAATATACAATTAATTTTAATGTTATAATTTAGAATATATAATTTTCTTTTAAAAAAAGTATAATCTTAATTCTCGTCATTCTTTTATGTAAACATTTTTAATATTTTCTCCTTTATTAGTTTAGAATTGGGACTTTTTTTTAACATATTATTTTTTAAAATTATTTATTTAAATAACCTGGGCCAATTTTTATTTACGTAAATAACCCATTTTGTGGCCCAGGTGAGAAATTGGTTACTAGGTATCCGATTTCTTAATAGGATTTTTAAAAAATAAAATAAAATTCCATTCAGAAAAATCGATTACCTAGTAACCGATTTCTCTTTTATTTATTTTTTTTATTTTTTGTTTTTTGATTTTTAGATTTTTAAAAATATTATTTTTTTTTGTTTTTTATTTTTTATTTTCAAATTTTATTAAAAATTATAATTAATTTTAATTTTTAAATTTATGTATAATATTTTTAATTTATTTTAAAAGTAAAGATAATGTTAAAACTTAATTATTTTATTAAAAAAGAAATTTATTTAAAAAATAGAGATAATTTAATTTAAAATTCACAACTTTAAATAAGAACAAACAATGAAAGCGATTGAAAGATACCTTGACCAACTTGACCAAACACTGAAGTTAGACAACTAATGTTATATGGTTTAACGTTTATGTTATTCATCTACTATGTTTGAAGTTTGTTTAAATTTTTTTTTTCAGTTATTTTCATTTTAATGATATAAGCGATATAATTATTGTACTTAATATATAATATCATTAATATTTAATAAAATAATATTATTGTACTTAATAAAATCAATATATTTATTATTAAATTACATTATTCAATTTTACACATACTCGGTCTCAAAGTCTTACAACTTCATCTATACTTATGGCAAACTCTTATCCATTACCATGTCCTATAGCCTTATATCTTGTCACCAAAATGAATCAACTAATTATGCTTCTCCAATTTCTTTCAACGATCCACTTGTTACTCGAATCATACCTAGTTTCACACTACTAGGAGTAATCTCACCAGTCAAACTTAAATCCTTAATTTGACCCCAAAGATGCATCTCTCTAATCATAAGGGAAGATAAATATAAATGTTTCCAACTCAAAACATCGGTCACAATATTGGCTTTGCCCAAATAACAAATAAGATCAAAATATTATTCCTTAAGAAAGTCCAACTATCTCTTTTGTCTCATATTTAACTCCTTTGGTCAAAAGATATTTAAGACTCTTATGATCACTAAATACCTCAAGCTTAGAATCATATAGGTAGTGCCTCCAAATCTTAGTATAAATATTTCAACCGCTAACTTAGAGTCATGGGTAAGGTAATTTCTCTAATGAATTTTCAATTTCCTGGAAACATAAGCTACTACCCTTCCTTCTTGCATCAACACTCCACCCAAACCCATCTTAAAAACATCACTATATACCACAAAACTTACTTACATCCAAAAATATTAACACTAATCGATCTTTCATTAAGAGTTTGGAAACTACTCTCACAATTATTATCCCACACAAAGATAAAACTCTTCCTAGTCAGTCTACTCAAGGGTAATGTTATCTTAGAAACTTTCTCAAGAAACCTCCCAAAACAAATAACTAACCTAAGAAAACTCCTAACCTCACTGACTTTTGGTATCTCCCACTTAAACAATACTTCTATCTTAGATAGATCTACGTTATACCTTCGCTAGAAATTACAAGACCTAGAAAACTAACTTCATACAATCAAAAATTATATTTAGACAACTTAGCATAAAACTGTCTAGTATATATCCTCATCCTCAACTCCAATTTGATGATATCACACCTTAAGGTCAGTCACAAAAATAACCATTAATTAATCCATAAGGTCATTTATCCTCGTATCAACATACATGTATATCAAATCAAAATCTAAACAAGACATAGGAAAAATCCAACTTTTGGACACAAGAAACAAAAAAAAGGAATGAGTCCCAGCTATGAAACAAGTACCTTGTATTAGATTTTCAAACTAAGCGGCTTCAGCACCGCTAAGAGCAGATACTCTCCCAGTAGCCTTTGGACGCTCAACTTGGACATCCAATCCTGTAGCACGTGGTCTTGGTGCTTTAGGACACTGGGTGCTGATGTGACCCTTTCCTCTATAATTGAAACATGTGACATCCTTATCAAGACATTCATAACTAGTGTGACCACGTCGCCCACACTTCTTGCATCGACTCATGGGAGTAGAAACAGAGCCTCCAACACTCCCTATGCCACTCACCACAAATCTTCCAGCATAAGGCATACTTCCTGCAACATGTGACTTGCTCCCACTAGCAGCAACTTGATTCCCTTGGAACTTAGCAAGAGCGGAGTAAGGTTTACTCTTACTCGAAGCACCAGAACTTACAGCATGCATAGGACCTCCCGCTCCCTTGTAAAAAGCAACATGTGCACGGTTGTCACGATCATAGATGCTACTCTTGTTAACCAGAGTAGGAAAGTGATAGATCTCCTAATAGTTAATTACAGTCTTCACCTCAAGACGCAGACCATTTACAAACTTTATGCACTTAGCTTTTTCACCACCCTCACCATGGTAGTGAGTACAATAGCGAACCAAAGCATCAAATTTGGTAGCATACTCTGCCACTGTGTCTTTCCCTTGCTTCAGCTCAAGGAATTCCATTTCCTTCTAACTCCTCACATCATCCGGGAAGTACTTCTCAAGGAAGACCCTCTTGAAGTTGTTCCAATTCAAGTGCACCCCTCCATCAATCATCCTCTAAAGTGCTCCTTCCCACCAAAAGTGGGCATCAGCAGTCAACATGAAGGTATCCAACCTCACCTTCTAAGCGAGAGGACACTCCATGGCATTGAAGATCTTCTCGATCTGCGTTAGCCAATTCATAGCAGCATCTGGGTCATATCCTCCTTTGAAGGTAGGTGGATGATTTCATTGAAATTGCTCCAACCAGTTAGGAGAGACTCCATCCCTATCATTATTACTCATAGCTTGTGCTAACGCTTGAAGGACATCAGCAATCGCACGATCATTTCTACCAGCCATAATCTAAGAAAAAAGTACACACAATTAACAAATATAATCAATCATCACACTAGCATATCAATAATTTCCACAATTAATTCATCTACCAAACAAGCATAGCAGACTCATAACTCACGACCGATTGGATCGACCTACTCTGATACCACTAAATGTGACACCCTATACCCAACATACATATACAATAATTATAAAATATAAAATTCTTCATCATTAAAAACCAAATTTCCAACCACATAAGGGTAAAGAGTTCACATTCATAAACTTAATTCAAATAACATGTTAATGAAATTACAAGAAATAAAACTGAGTTTTCAAATAGTTAATGGAAATAGCATCCTAAACTAAGCCTAGTTGGGCCCCAATGTCATATATCCTATCAGAGCATGCCCAACTGAAGCTTAAGCCTCATCACCAACCCATAAAAGGCTCAACATGCCAAATATATATATATATAATGCCAACAAAATGCTACTCCAAGGTAGCCTACAAAAAAAAATCATCTACTCAAGCTCCTACCACCAAGTGGCATCCAACAGCTCACAATAACCTATAGAAAATTAAAATAAATTATTTTTTATTTTTAAATTTTGAAAGAAAAAAAAAACCAAGTGAAAAATTAGTTGCTCCAATAACCGATTTCTCAATAAAATTTTAAATTTTTTTTCAAAAATCTTATTGAAAAATCGGTTATCCAATAAGATTTATCATCTAGGCTACAAAATAGGTTATTCAAGTAAATAAAAATTAACCCAGATTATTTAAATATTAATTAAAAAAATAATATATTTATAAATAAAAAAAAGTATAGAATTGGAGCACTAGTTTAACTTATTGACTTGTGACGACATTTAACAATTAACATTTAAGCATCGGATATTTACGAAAAATAAGATCAAATCTATCACTTTGGATATTTCCTTTTTACACCAAGGATGGATATTTTTTTTAATCGTTCATAATTCCAAGAGTAATAGAGAAAAATTAAATATGTAAAAAAATTGGGATTTATTAAAAATGGATGAATTCTAAAAATGGCCAACAGATTCCAAATATAGTTGCAACGTTTATCGGTTCCCGGAAAAGACTCGTACACCAAACTTTGCCGTGTCAATAGCGTTTACGGTCCTAATTCTTCCACGCGTCACAACATGATTGGAAGTGGTACCGGTGCCGTGACGAAGCAACGCATCAGTTTTGCTATAAAAGCGAAGCCCCGGACGCCAACTTTTCTTATCAAAGCATAATAGATAATCGTATTGTTGCAGAGAAAGAAACCCTATCAAGGTATCTTCTTCTCCTCTTCTCCTTCTTATTAAGATTTCGATTATTAGGGTTTTATGTTTAGATCATAGGATATGTCGAGCCCTTTCATTTTGATCTGGGTCGTTTCGGGTTTGTGAAATTCTTTTGAATCTAATTGTCGTGCATGATTTTACCTTCTCAATAATCATGGATGAGGAGATCTTTGCAAGCTTTTATTGAATAATAGGCTAGTTTGTTTGTAAGAGATCTTAAGATCTGTTGTAATATGTTTAATTTGTCAGATCGTGTACATGTACTCTGTATTGTGTAATTGTAAAACCTTTTTTTTTCTCTAGATTGGACTGAATTGTATTTCTCGTCCCGTATCTGGTTGATTTAATGATTCCTTTTCGTAAGGGTTTTACTTATGTCGATGTTTTATACAAATTTACAGTAATTTGTGTATCTATGACTGTTTCCTCGGTATGTTGATTGTTTAGGATGACTTTGATAATCAACGACTTTGATTACTTACTTTCAGTCCTGTTGTTTTGTATAATATTTTCATCATCTATTTTCATTCACTGCAATGCGCGTGTTGAAGAATTGGCGATTGATTTTTTACTTTTTGTTTTGTAGATGCAAATCTTCGTTAAGACCCTCACCGGTAAAACCATCACTCTCGAAGTAGAGAGTTCAGATACCATAGACAATGTTAAGGCCAAAATTCAAGACAAGGAAGGCATCCCACCCGACCAGCAACGTCTCATCTTTGCTGGCAAGCAGCTTGAGGATGGCCGTACCCTCGCCGATTACAACATCCAAAAGGAGTCCACGCTCCACTTGGTGCTCCGTCTCCGTGGTGGAATGCAAATATTTGTGAAGACCCTAACCGGAAAGACAATCACCCTTGAGGTGGAGAGCTCTGACACCATTGACAACGTCAAGGCTAAGATTCAGGACAAAGAAGGCATCCCACCAGACCAGCAAAGGCTCATTTTTGCTGGGAAACAGCTCGAGGATGGCCGAACTTTGGCAGACTATAACATTCAAAAGGAGTCCACTCTACACTTGGTTCTCCGTCTCCGTGGTGGCATGCAGATTTTTGTTAAGACCCTCACCGGAAAGACCATCACCCTTGAGGTTGAGAGCTCTGACACTATAGACAATGTAAAGGCTAAGATCCAGGACAAGGAGGGTATTCCCCCAGACCAACAAAGGTTGATTTTTGCTGGAAAACAGCTCGAAGATGGACGGACACTGGCAGACTACAATATTCAGAAGGAGTCTACCCTTCACCTTGTCCTTCGCCTGAGGGGAGGTATGCAGATCTTTGTAAAGACTTTGACTGGAAAGACTATTACCCTGGAGGTTGAAAGTTCAGACACCATCGATAATGTGAAGACAAAAATTCAGGACAAGGAGGGGATCCCACCAGACCAGCAGAGGTTGATTTTTGCTGGGAAGCAATTGGAGGATGGAAGGACTCTTGCTGACTACAACATTCAGAAAGAATCAACACTCCACCTTGTCTTGCGACTCCGTGGTGGTATGCAGATTTTTGTGAAGACTCTTACAGGGAAGACAATTACTTTGGAGGTAGAGAGCTCAGACACAATTGACAATGTAAAGGCGAAGATACAGGACAAGGAGGGTATTCCTCCAGACCAGCAAAGGTTGATTTTTGCAGGAAAGCAGCTTGAAGATGGACGTACACTGGCAGACTACAATATTCAGAAGGAGTCCACCCTTCACCTTGTCCTTCGTCTGAGGGGAGGTATGCAGATATTTGTCAAGACTTTGACTGGAAAGACTATTACCTTGGAGGTTGAAAGTTCAGACACGATTGATAATGTCAAAGCCAAAATCCAAGACAAGGAGGGAATCCCACCAGACCAGCAGAGGTTGATCTTTGCTGGGAAGCAATTAGAGGATGGAAGGACTCTTGCTGATTACAACATTCAGAAAGAGTCTACTCTTCACCTTGTTTTGCGTCTTCGCGGTGGGTTTTAAAAGTTTGAGGATGTTATGTAGGTTTCTTGTTTAAGTGTAAGCATGTGAATGTCCAGCAGATTTGCTATTTTATGTTCCTGAATTTGTTGTTAATTTGTCTCGGGGGCATTGTGTGTTCCCTTGGAAAACTATGTAGGTTCTGGTGTTTTTTGTTTTACATTTATGTTCTCACATGTGCTCGGTTCATGAATAAGGACAATTTGCTACCATTTAATGAAATTTAGTACTTCGCTGTGATATGAGTAATCGGCTGTCATGTTTGATGAAATTCAGTACTTTCAAATTTCAATATCTTCTGTTTTAGCTGTTGATCTTTTAATCTAGTTTCTGTAACTTCAAGTTTGATTAGCTCAAACACCGGCATAGTAAAAAGTGGTTGACATTATGGCTTATCAGCCATCGTTTCTTAATTTTATGAAAATCTCTGAGTGATACATAAGATTTTCCTGCTGATAGATGATTCACTGATACATAAGCTTCGCTGCTACCCCATATTAAAGTCTCTTCTGTTAGAAGTTCATTGGGAAGTATAACTGAATTTAAACACACGGTATTCCAGCACTATTTCTGTTTGAAGATTGAGTATATAGTTCACCCAAGAGGTGAATCTTTTTAAAGCTTTTTTTGACTTGAGATAATTTTCCTTTACGTTCTGTTACATGTGCACATAATGCAGGATCACACACAACGGCATCAGTAAGTTTCATTTCGCTCCCAATTAAAGAGGATTGAAATAAAGAACTTAACGATGAATTTATAACGCCGTTGTAGTAAAATGCTTGAACCGTTGGGAGCCTAATTAGTGTTCGTGGGAACCTAATGGGGTCAGTGCAATATCTGAAACTAACAGATCCAAAATTAACATTAGCCTGTAAAAAGCACAGATTGAGAGATGTTAGCTTTAGCTTCTCATTGAAAGTTCTATTTTAAAATGCTAGGCGACTGCGTTGGTGTCACTGGTACAGGTTAATTTTCTCACACGATTACTGTTAAAGGCAGTAGATTTCTGCCACAAGATGAATTTTTAACCAAGATACGAGCGACTTTTGGCATGGCTCTCGTCATTTTATCTTCTTTTCCTACGATATGTCCAGGTAATAACATTGCAGAAATATGCAAGCAAACATAGATGACACATAGAAAGGAAAGTGGCCAGCTAAATAAAACTGATTCACTGCCATCTAAAGAGCTTATTCGTGTTTAAATTATTCGAACTAGATAACATTGTTTCCTCTAAAACTTTGGGTATTGTTAATCGGTACTGACTTTTCCAAGGCGGCTTGAAAATTTGATGCAGTGCATTAACCACAGTAAGCAGAAAATAACATTTTACTTCATGATAGCAAAATCACAAAACCACAGTTCACATAACAAGTCACCAACGACAACTATTTACATGTTTATTCACTCGCAACTCCCATTACACGATATTTTTGGCAACAAAGAAAACCACACGATTTCAAACAGAGACACCAACAACAATTAGCCCTTGCTTAACCAGAGATCTCTATGCTTTTAACATGAGGCTTCTTAACCTCTACCTTGGGAACAGTGACAGTGAGAACCCCATTTTCCATAGAAGCCTTTACTTTATCCACTTTTGCATTGTCCGGCAACCTGAACCTCCTCGTGAACTTTCCACTGCTACGCTCCACACGATGCCACGTGTCGTTCCTGTCCTCCTTCTGAACGTTCCTCTCTCCGCTGATGTGAAGAACCTTGTCATCTTCGATCTGAACCTTGACTTCCTCCTTGCTGAGCCCTGGAATGTCAGCCTTGAAGACGTGCGCCTCTGGGGTCTCCTTCCAATCCACTCGGGTACTCACAAACGCTGAATTTTCCCTGGCAGACACAGACACAGAAGTGGGAAAAGGGAAATCCCTGAAGGGATCCCACACGTCGAGAGAGAATGGATCCAAGACGTTGCTCCTCCTGTTACCCAAAATACTTGGAATCAGAGACATCTTCTCTTCTCTTAGCTGAATGCTTCTCACTCTCAGAATTGTTATAAAATGTAACGATGATATTGATGTTGCGTTAAAAACACGAGCGAGTATTTAAAGGAAGTGACGGAATAATCATGTATTATCCAGAAAATTCTATTTACTTAATTGCTGCCAATTATTCTTGTTTCTGAAAAATGAAAATGTTCTAGACTTTTCTACATGGCCCCCATCCCCATCTACGCTCTACTATTTTCTGTTTTCTTTTTCAAAATTATTTTTATTTTTACATTCATTTTTCAAGTCACAGGTGGAAAACAAAAATAGAAAATTAAAAATAAAATTATGTGATTATTTAAAGGCAAATAATATATACAGTTTTCTTTCCTTTAGATATGTCCGTTCTCATTTTTTTTAAATACTCTTTTAATTATTTTTTTCAAAATAAATTTTATTTCAATAATATCTTTTTCTTCGACTATTCTTCATTCACTTATTTTCTTTGCTTATTCTATTTTTTTTTTAATTTCTCTTTGTAGTCTTTATTTTTTTCTTTTTAGTAATCGAGACACTACTTTAATCCTTATTGTTTTTTAAATCTTATTTTTTATATTTTTAATTTCAATATTTTTTATATCTTATTCATTAACCAGATGCAAGGTTGTGAATTCTACAAAGATGTCATTTCTAAAAGCATATTTTTGTTTTACAGAAAATACTTTCTCAAAATATATTTTTTGCTTTTAAAAAATGTTTTTAGAAGTATATTCCATTCTTTGATTTTGGGTACAAAAACTTTTTAGAAATTTTTTTAAGAAATACATTCCAAAAGTATATTTGAAGAATTATACTTTCAGGAAATATTTCTGGAAGAAAAAAAAATATTTTTGAAAAGTATTTTTGAGAAGAATTTGGAGGTATTTTTCATCTTTTAAAAAGAATTCTCTGCGAGTATATTTTTTATTTCCTAAAAATATTTTCTAAAGAAGACTATTTAAAGAGTGAAAAAAGGAAAGAAAGAAAAAAAGTAAGGAGATATATTATTAATTAATGAAAATATATTTTAAAAAATTTGTATATAAATAAAGTAAAGAATATAT